CATGTTTGTAATCACTGCAAAATGTTGTTGTAATATAAACAAGCATTAATAAGGTTAGCTGCATACCACTAAATATATTTGCATTTTAATTTCAGCTGGATGCCTGGCAATGAAGAAAATAAGCAGAAAACAGATGTGCACTATAGGTCACTGGATGGTGATGGGAATTTTAACTGGAGATTTGTTTTCCCTTTTGAATACTTTCCAGCTGAGCAACTCTGTATGGTTTCTAAAAAGGTGCGGGTTCTCTCGAGTTCAATATAAAGAATTCATGTTCTCATTAGTTGGTAATAAAGCATTTTGAGCTAAATTCTGCCCTCAGTTACATTTGTCCATTAAAGGGTTGTATGTGCATAGCTGAGGGCACAATTGGGCCCTGTAAGTTGCTTTTGCACAATAAGGGACCCGGCCAATGCTCCTTACTCAAGCAAACTGCCATTGAGCTCACTGGGTACAAAAATCGGTCCTTAGTTACAGAGATGCAACTCCTAACCCAGTGGGAGTTTTCTGTTGGCAAGGAGGGCAGGACTGGGTCCTGAAATCCACCTGTCTGAAATCTGTTGGTAAAATCAGAATATTACTTTGCATTTTCAATCCATAACACATTAAAGATGTTTTTAACTGAAATTATTTTATTCTTAGGAGCATTTTTGGAGTCTCGACAAAACAGAATTCAGAATCCCACCCAAAGTGATCATTCAGATATGGGATAATGACAAGTTCTCCTTGGATGACTACCTGGGTATGACTTTCACAGCTAAGAATTATCATCATTGGAAAGTGAGAGATTGCAAATGAACGTTTGCAAGTTGCAGCAGCAGGACCAAATTTTCAAATGGATCTCTACCAAGTGTCCATTTGTGCATGTATAATTTTGTATCCTAAAACCCCTTGTGCATACAGTCTTTGTACACTATCATTTGTGATCACAAATGATGGAATTTTGACACAAAAATTCTTCAAGCAAATCAAGCTTAGCTGTTTTTCACTCATCTAAAGTTGTATTGTGTATACAAATGGTAGCGTGCAAAATCTGCATGGGCAGATAATTTGTGCATGAAAAGTTGCATTCACACAAATGGAGGCAGGGTTGAGGCCCTCTTTGAAAATTTAGCCCTTTACATATTTTCAGATTGTTCATTCAGAAGGAGAGGTGACTTGATTAAGACTGCCTTCTTCAGAATCCTATATCTCAGTGTTGGTATTTCCTGCTGAGTAATGTCAGCATCTATTCACTATTTAGCATGCTGAGAAAAAATCAGACTTTTTGTGCAGTGCACAGTATACCAGGCTTCCTTACAGAATCACTTCCCCTCCCACTTCCCTCCCCCTCATACACACACACTTTGACATATTCAGGGCTGGCTCCAGGCACCAGCCTGGCAAGCAGGTGCTTGGGGCAGCCGCTCCAGAGAGGGGCGGCACGTCCAGCTATTCGGCGGCAATTCGGCGGACAGTCCCTCACTCCCGCTCCGAGCGAAGGTCCTCCCGCCGAATTGCCGCCACAGATCGCGATTGCGGCTTTTTTTTTTTTTTGGCTGCTTGGGGCGGCCAAAACCCTGGAGCCAGCCCTGGACATATTTGAATTCTGATCTGAATTTTGCTGCTTGAACCCAAGTGGAATCTTGAGGCAAGATCCTGGACTGCACAGAATACAGATCAGGAGGTGTCATGCAAAGGCATTGTAAAGCTCAGTCTCCAATACTGCTGCTACACTGCACAGGGCTGACCTCCCTGCAGTGTGTTAGAGTAGCCCTAAGGATGCTCTAAGTTTATGCCATGCTGCGAACAGCTACAAGGAGCTGAAAACACAACTGAAAATTGGCCTTATCACTCTGCTAAAGTACTAAATCATATCATTCAATATCAGAAATGTGTGTATGATGTTTTTTCATTTTGCCAGTGAGTTTTACTGACAGCACTAGTTTAAGACTAACAGAATGTGCTTAGGGGTCCTCACGGGGCTCTCACTTCCCAGACATACACCTGGATCAATGCACTTTAGTCCTGGCCAGCAGCATCCTTGCTATTCTACTTCATGGCTTATTGTAAGGAGAAATTACCATATATATCATATGTTTAATGTTTTAGCTGTCCACAAGGGTCAGATTGAAACCAGATAACTCATTTCATGTATGGCCCTAGTAAGATTTGACTGGAACCACTATGCTGTTTGGCCAGCTATGTTATACAGAATGCTTTTCTCTTTCACTTTCTCTGGTAGGTTTTGTTGAACTTGATTTACACAAAACAGTTATTCCAGCAAAAGTTCCTGAAAAATGCAATATAGACATGATTCCAGAACACAAGGCAAACAACCCTCTCAAGGCTCCCAAGACTGTCTCACTCTTCGAACAGAAATCCATGAAGGGGTGGTGGCCATGTTACACAGAAAAGGACGGCTCACGTGTTTTGGCTGTACGATTATTTCATTGTATAAAGTACCTCGCTTGTTCTGCCTACTGCCTGTTTTCTTTAATGATACTTGGGCTCCCCTGCAGCTGAGCTCCTTTGAAGAGCTGGATAGCTTTAGTGGTCATTAAGCTTTCAAGCTTATAGACAGATGGACCCTTAGGGGTATTAATACACACAGAGCGTTTGGAATGGTTTTAAAATACTTTTGAATGGTTTTAGTATTTAATATTAAGTACTTTTTAATCTCATGTAGAATTCAGAAAAATATTGAGCTAGAATCATTCTGGTTATATTCCCATTAAAGCCACTCGAGTTATTCTAGGGATGACATTAGCTCATTATGTCTCCCTAGGAGTAGTTGGCTCCTTTGTACATGTGGAGTACAGTAAGGAGAAAAGCTTGAAAGCAAAGCTTTTTATGACATTGCAAATATAATTTGTAATTAATGAAGCCGGACTATTTGCCTGAGCATCAGGCCAATAAAATTGTAAAGGTCAGTAACTATACCTGGCTCATGAGGAACTGTTTTTATCCTTTAACTGCATAAAGGTGGCTAAGGGTGTGATTCTGCAAATGCTTATGCACATAAGCAGCTTTACACAGTAGTAGTAAAACTGAACTCACAAGATTACTCATATGAGCAAGTGTTTGCAGGCTCAGACCTTAAGAATGTATGTTTGCCATTGTCCTCTATTGATTAGAGTATCTGACTTTGTCAAATGTATCCGATTGTTTCTTCCAAATGACTTGCCTATAAACCCTAATCCTGGGATGAGGTAGATGATGAAAATATAACTATTCACCAATACTGAACTGATTTTTTTAAATGTTCCCAGCAGCCTTATACAGGTTGAGATTTTTATTAATTATGAAGAGACACAGATCTGGGATTGTCATTGGAAGAAAAGTGGAATTCTTTCTTTCACATTATAAACAATACATTTTGCGGATATGAACCAAACATATAGCTTGGAATCTGAACTGGGGATGGATTACCAAACACATGCTGTATGTGTCTACATTTTTAACTCCAGATTGGTATGTTGTAACATTGTCATAATCCAGAAACACATTTTGAGGTAGCAATTGGAGGAAAATATGAAGAGGGAGCTTATCCAAAACTGTACAAGGAGTTTTAAAGCCAAACAAACACTTTACATGCTGTTTAAGTAAAATGTTTATATGTGATGTCATATGTTTAACATGTCTTGATTTACTGAAGGGTAAAGTTGAGATGACTCTGGAAGTCCTCAATGAAAAAGAGGCTGATGAAAGGCCAGCTGGTAAAGGAAGAGATGAACCTAACATGAACCCCAAGTTAGACCTACCAAAGTAAGATATATTTTTTTCTTTAGTTACTTTGAAGAATGCTGTGACACCCACATACAAACTAAAAAATATTGTTTATGAATGCCACATTTGACAAATGATGCTTCAGATGTCAGCTGTAATTTGCCAAACTTTATATATAGAAGGCAATTTTGTTTCTATCTTACAGTTCTTTCCATATGCATCCGAATAAAAATGCAACATCTTTTCTGTATAGTTGTGCAAATTTAATGAACCTGTCTTCTTAGACGAATCAATTATCTATCTTTTTCAACTCTATACAGTTAATTATTAATTGAACTGTGTTTTATTCTCGCACTGAAGTATTTAACTCTCCCTGTTTGTTAACATGATGAATATTGTTCCTTTCAAAATGCAGCCGACCAGAAACTTCCTTCCTTTGGTTCACAAATCCATGCAAGACAATGAAATTTATTGTGTGGCGCAGATTTAAATGGATCTTCATAGGCATTATCATCCTACTGATTGTATTCTTGTTTCTGGCGATACTCTTATATTCACTGCCGGTAGGCATTTTTAAATGTTCCTATGTTGTTCTTCAATTGTGACATAACTCTTGCTTTACTTAAGGTCAAAACAAGGACCTAGTCCTGCACTCTTTATTCAGTCAAGAATAACTATTGACTCTGTTTTAGTGGGGACTGCAGGATTGGACCCTTACATCTACAACTTCTTAAAATTTAATACACTTTTCATCCTATTGATCAATTATTTATAATGTATGCATTGATGGATCGAGGATTTTGATTGGCTGTAATCAAAAGATTCAGGCAATTAAGAAGTGCCTTAAAAGTGCTTTCTAGATTGCATTGTTGCAGGAATGCAGATAGAAGTACATATTTTGGAGACTGTGGATTTCATTCTAATTTCATTTGAAATACAATACATTATAAGCTAGATCAACTATGCAATAGCTTACCACAACTGTGTTTTCACCAGAATAGTTATAACATACTCTGATCTGGTTTTAGTACTATGTTTGCTTTGTATAATAGTATATATGTTTAAATGTCCAGCTTATTTTTTTCTGCCTCTGCTTATTGATTTTTTCTTTCTTCCTTTTTTCTAGAATTACATATCAATGAAGATTGTGAACCCAATCTAAAGAAGAGGATTTATTTTTACATTTTGAATAGCAATAAGGTAGTTTTACCTCAGGCTGCGGACCAAATTCAGCAAGGCTTGCTTCTTGGTTTTAACCTTGTTCTCTTATATGTTAAACTAGGAAATAGATAAGGGATAAGAATTTAACCAAGGTTAGCCAAGGTTCATGGGGTCTTGACTAGTGTAAAAAGTCATGTTCCGTTTATGTTTTGACTTTGATAACATCTGTATGTGGTAAAATTCTGTCTTCCTTGCTTTTAAAGTAGATTTTTCATAAAAATTCTCCAGTTGCTCTTATTTTTTTAAATGGATACTTTATTTTGAGAATTATTTTCTACTCTCTCTCGACTTAGTAAAAAAAAAACCACAATTACTACTTATATTTTTGTATACCAAACAAAAAGTGCAATAATATTCTGCCATTGTATTTTGAAAAGGTCACAATATTGCTATACTTAAAATCATTGTTAGAACCGTACTTTAAACTGTATGAGCATAGAAATGAAATAAAACAATACTAAATGACTATTTACTTTGAGCGTGTCCGAGTAATTTCATTATAAAAATGATTAAATACCTTGCCAACAAAAGAGAGAAATCTCAAAACTGGCAAGCTCATTATTTATTGAATGCCAGGGTGCTTGGCACTGTACAAACTCACAGGAGGACATAAGTCTCAAGGAGTTTACAATCTAGCTATCTTTGTTAATTGGTATAATCTTTCCTGTACCTGATATCTTTATACTCCCTGGTAAAAATAAAACGGAAAACTCTCCAACTTAACATTTCTGTATAATTCACTCATGTCCATTTCTACTCTTGCCATTCATTTCCTGATGAACTTATTGATGAATATTTTTAGAGATGATCCTGAACTGGCACATCAGAATGGTTTGAAAGCCAAACCCAAGTGTGAATCTTGTAATTGTATCTAGGAGTTGAACTAGAAAACAAAATTCTAAATATCCCACCCTAGCTTTATCTACACCAAAAAATAAAACTCTTCAGACCTGAACCCAGATCCAGATTGTGATTTGAACCTGTATTTATAGCGGGCCATACTGGAACTGTACATCTGAACATGCTCAAATGGTGGGAGGGTATGACATCTGCTTCTGAACCCATTTCAAAGTTTTGTAATGCAGGCCCAATTCTAACTGGATCAAGACTTGTGCTGTCATTGCAAAGATGACTATCACAGCTGCTGGAATTAATGCATCAGTATCAAAAACCTCTGCCATGATTATAAGAAATGGCAAGTCTGCCACTGCAGTAAAAGATGTGTTTGTCAGTTTTCAGCAAAACTGGGCAAATGACATTGACTTAATTCCACTGAACAAACTGGAGTAAGGTTATTGCACGAAATAATTTCCAGAGTGTGAAGCAATACTGGCTGGGGTGAAACAACCAGCAGTCACCCTGTCAAAAAATAATAGCCCCCTTATTTTTGGTTGTTAAAAAAATTCTTGAGAGCCTCGACCTATAAATGATAGCTCAGAGCTGGAACTAATCACCCTCCAGATGGATTGTCACTTCACTATTGACAAAATAACACTTCAGAAATAAGCGGCAATTGCATCAGCTAATTTTTGATCATTCGTTATTAAAATATGTCTCAATCAATGCCAGAAATCTGACAGGATAAAAATCACAGCAGGCTTGTTTTTCATTATAAGGCTAGAAAATGGGTCGCTTATAAGTGTTGTAATTAGACAAGCATTTAACTTTAAAGAGGTATTTAAAAGGACAGCATTCCTCAGAAACAATTCTGAAATAGCCTAAGAGATCTGAACAACCCTGTGCACCTAGAATTTGAAGATTGGCAGGTATTGCCCTTCTCAGCTCACCCTTCTCCAGAGCAGCTTTGTCCAAGTACGCACAGGCCTGGCAGTTTCACTGCTATTAGGCAGATGTTATTAAAAACATAACTAAACAGCTTCAGAAATCGTCCTGTCTCCCAACCTATGTCACTTAAAAAACCATGTAGAGTAGGGAGCAAAAAAGTTGTCTGCAACTGGGCGATTCGGTCATTAATGCAGTGAGAAGATTTTTAATAGAAATATACACAAGTATTTGAGGCCTGCTAGGGCTGCCATACATCGCTTCAGCAGAACAAAGCAGCCTTAAACCCAGCGGCAGATTCCTCTCAGATAGGGGAAACAGTGCCGGGTTTACAATGGCACCAGTGGCTCCATGGAGCCAGGCCCATGCTCAGAAGGAGCCCCGGCCTACTCCGCTTGCACTGCGCCCCGAGACCCTGATGGCTCCCCGCGCCCACCACTTGCTCCTTTCGGCCTGCCCGCTGGCTGGCCGAGGTCTCCTCTCTGCCTCCTGGCCCCACCCCCTGCTCCTCTCTGCCCCCTGGCCAGATGCCAGTGCACCTCCCACTCTGGGCAGTCTCTGCTTCCCACCACCTGTGGGGCCCTGCCTGTCTCCCCAGAGCTGAGCCGCCTGGGACTGGTGCAGAAGCCTGGCCAGTCTCAGCCAGGGATGGGGGAGACGACAGTGTGGGGGGCTTGGCTGGGCCCCTCCAGGCAAGTGCGTCTTGAGGGATCCTGGCCGGGGCAGGCCCTGGCCTGGCTGATCATGCTACTCCCAAGGAGCCGGAGTGATTCCCGGCCCCAGGACCAGCCCTGGCTACACTGCCGGCTCAGCCCGGCAGCACAGTCACCTCCCTGTAGGGACAGTGAGTGCGGCCGGGAGGCAGGACATGGGGGAGTGGGTCTCCGGGTGGGCAGGGGTGGTTTTGTGCAGGGTGCTGTGCATTTGTAGGGGAGGTCTAGGGGAGCACTGGGTATCGTGGGTCCAGGGGGGCTCTGGCCATAGGGAGTTGGGGAGTTGTTGGGTGGGGGGGTAGCATGGGCCCACCCCCGAGAAGAAGGGGCATGCTGGCAGCACAGGGCCAGGCGGGCCACTGTGCATCTGGCAACTGCCGTTTTGTAAACAGAGCCCTCGCACTGGGCTGGGTGGAGTGGGGGCCGCCCCTGCCATGCACCATTGACTCTGGCTGGCCCCTCGCTCCGGGGACTGATCTCCCTGCACCATACTCCATTGCTTCCATGGGGGCCCACAACTATGTTTGGCACCAGGCCCACAAAAGGTTAATCTGGCCCTGAAATCCCCCAGTGATGTAGCAATTTCCATGCCACTCTCATTCTGCCCCAACAGTATGTTGGAGAACAGGAGTTTGGTTACGTCATCTCTGCTTCCCACCTATTCCCAGCTGCTAGAATTATCCTGTGGAGACCAGAGGCAGCTGGACAAAACATAGAGCAACCCTGACAGCGCTCTACTTTGGGCTAAGGACTATCCTTGGCCAGCCCTAAGACTGACAGAGCAACCTCAAACACAAAGGCCACAACCTCTTGTCTACGCTATCAACTGTGGGATTCTCCCATAACACAGGCCTGAACACACAGCCAGACACACCCTGGTTCTCAGGACAATTTATTTGGTGGCCTCAGAGTGTGGCTTGCTGGTAGCCACTCTCACATTTTTCCCTAGAATACTTAATTAGGTTTAGGAAAAACAAATAAATATGCACATATAAACATCCAAATCATTGTAATTTATGTATTGCTAGCTAGTAAGTCTGTTGTGAAAAGTGATACTAACAAACATACAAGTATCACTTTTTACAGCAGACTAACTCAGCCCTGGCACAACCCTGGACAAATTAAGCCCTGGATGTGGGATCTAGGGAGGCAGCAGGAGGCTGGAGCCTGAAGCCCCATGGCTGGGGGACAGAGCCCAAAGCCACACAGCCAGAGCCCAGGGCTGGGGGACGAAGCCACACATCAAGAGCCTGCCACCCTGCCACCTCCATGCTGAAGCCCAACTGCCCCTGGGAAGGTGGGGAATTCACCAGGTGCCTGCTCCTCCAGTGTTATGGCCCAGGTGTCTTCAGAGGGGGGCAGAGCCCAACCCCTGCTGGTGCACCTAGGAGCACAGGGGAGGGGCCGCTGCTTTGCCCCCTCCAATTACAGCCCAGGAGGCTGTGACCACAAGAAAAGCCCATGGTGGCTGCATATGGCGATGGTGGCCACGTTTGAGAAATGCTGGTCTTCAGTTTCAGTCAAGGTGCTGACACTTAGGAGCCAAGAATCCCACTTTACTCAGACCACTTCCTCTTCCAAACCAGTGTCAGAGCTCTTCCGCTCAGGGCCTGTAGTAGTTGTCCACTCCCTAAACACTCATGGACCCAACCAGTTTTGAGAATATAATAATAGACACGCAGACAAGCTGAGGAGGGCACCAGCCATTGCTGGACCTGCTATCCACAACAATCAAACAACCCCCTAACTGCCACTTCCATCCCATCACTCTATAGAGCACCTGCATCAAAAGAATGAAAAGTTGAGACTAGAGCACTAGAGATGCAAAATGAGAACTGAACCCAACAGGCTATAGCCATGAGGGAGCGTGAAAGATCTCTCTTCTCTTATAGCAGCTACACAGCCATTGCCCGCAGAAATATTCTGGCATGTGAACTGACTGCCTTTCTTCCATTTTCTAACTCTCACATTGCAAGGCCTATGTCCCAGATAAAATTTTCTGGATCCAAGATGGCCTCTGCATTTTAAGAATTGAAACCAATGCATTATCACCCAGTTTTCCCAGGAACTGGGAAACATTAGAATTTGGAAGAAGAATAGCTGGCTGAAAGTCAGTCTGGGCAAGAACAAGGCAGAGGTGAGGCTGGCAGGTGGAGAGTAATATTTTGTAGCAATGGCCAAAACAAAACCTCATCAATTTCAAACATCTGCCCCACAAGCATCAAAGTATTACGTAGTCTCAGGACCCTTCTGGGTTATTCACTGATCTTGTGGTCACAAATGGCTGCAGCAGCCAAAAATGCCTTCAATTGATTCCGCTGCCCAGCAGGCAGTGTGCTTTCCTGTCAGCTGCCAACTTAGCCACGGGGATCCATGTGTTTGTCACCTTCAAGCCTGACTACTGCAATGTCACTACCATGAAGAAACCCCAGCTACTACAACCTGTCTTTCATCCAACACAGGGTGATGACAACACATCATCCATGTTCTCTGCACTCTGTGGTGGCTCCTGCCCCACATTAACTACCTGATTGGGCCTTCTTGGCAGCTGGCTGATAAGGGTGGAACTCCCTTCTCCAAGAGCTTGACATGACCTTTATTCTTACCATTTTCAGAGCAAAATGCAAGACCTCTCTCTCTACACCAGCTTTTCCACAATAACTTTCCTGAAGGTGTCAAATAAAAACTACCCAAAAGCCCAACTTTACCCCACACACTTCTCAGCATGACATGAGACAAAAGGGAGAAAAAGGTCTCCCAGACTGATTAGAAAGAATAAACAATCTTCTTTGTGCTCTGATACTCTGCCAATGTACATTACAATTAGATCAGTGAGACAGAACATGAAAGGAAGAACCATAATGTGTCTCAAAGAGGAGAACTGGCACCTAAAGTTTGAGTTAAAAGAAAAAATGAGATCACCAACACACTCTGATGAGCTTGCATTTCTTCAGTCATCCAC